TAAAGTGTATGTTAAATCGATGGCACTTTTATTTTGATAAATGTTTCATCCGGCAACATCGTACAATGAAATTGCAAAGGAATATGTCAAGTATAATCTAACATAACCTTAAACGATACTGGGATAAGTTCAAGTAATACGTAAAGTATTAGTTTGCTCTTTGTCGAATTACACGTTATAAAGAAAGAAGGACCGATTAATTCTGACCTCGTCCTGAACTTTTTCCGCACTGATATGTCAAAAAAAAAAAGTTTTACCGCACCGTGCGGGAAAACTCATTTTTCGCACGCATATCAGTGCGGAAAATCGATTTTTCCGCACGACTGTAGGAAATAGTTATTTTCCTAACAAGTGCCCAAAGTGTTACTTTTCCGCACGCAAACACAGTTATACGAACGACGCGAAGCGGAGTTCGGATAAGTGTTTGCGTGCGGAAAAGACACTTTGCGCACGTGTTAGTAACAAAATTTTTCCTACAAGCTTCATATCAGGTAGGTATAACAACAAAAATTTAAAAAAAAAAAAAAAAAACGATAATTTGTTCAATTATTTTCAATTAACTTGAAGCAAACCTGTTCATTCATCAAAAAATTACATAACAAAAAAAAAATAAAATTGAAATCCTCGTCAGAGCAGTTCATCTTAAAGCGTTTAAATTTGATGCGAAAGAAGTTTGTAGATTCTTTTGCATGTAAATGGAGAAGACAAATCTGACAGTGTCAAAGTTAATTATATTCAGTGTTTGTATAGATGTTGGCTGATATATAAACAGAGGAAAAATTTGTCATCATGTGTCAGGTGCACTTATTGTTGGTTGACAATTATTTTCACTTTTCGGCACTCAGTGCGGATAAGGCCCGTATCCGCACTGAGTGCGGAAAAGTGTAACTTTGAGAACGGTAATGCGTGCGGAAAAGTACTACTTTGCGCACGCTCGTAGGAAAATATCTTTTTCCTACGGGCGTGTTTGTCGGTATCTTTTTGGGACACCCTATATATGCATTAGGAGATTGACGTACAAAAAAAAACATTTCTTAAGCAAAAAATAAATAATGTAATTTGTGTAATATTTATGACAAATATAATAACAATCTTCTCGTGGTACAAACAAAAATCATGAATCAAATCTAATAAAACGTCTAAATTGAAATTAGCATTTTTAAGATAATATGGCATCAGATTTTTCTTCGAAAGTACCTTCTTCAATTGTCCCGGATCCTTATCCAAATAACAATTTTCTGCACAGTAAATGCAGTGTTCCTGGAATTCAAGCGCTTTTGTTTCAGACTTGCGTTGTTTTTTTGGATGACAGGGACTAATTTCTGAAACAGCTGATCTAGTCGACAGCATTGCTCTTTTCAAATGTGTAGGTTGAAACAGCTTCGGTGACACTTTAAGGTAAAGTCATGATCATCTTGTACTTTCTCCTCTAGTTCCATAAATTGATCATCACCTTATTATATGCTACATGTTATAATAGTCTTTATTCGCTGAGCACCTGCGGCTGGAAGGGGTTCACTGCGTCCACTGCACTTAAATTTCCATTAAAAAAACACCTTTTTTTCCCCATTGCGATCGCATTCAATTAAAAAAAAATATATATATAAAACCTCCATGTAAAAGATTCTTCCAGACTTCCATCGTCTTTTTTTAAAATTATTTTTAGCGTTTCGATTGCTTCACTATCTACAACTGTCATTTACCTGATGACGATTTTAGATCGTTGAGCAAATAGAAACGTAATGAAACACAAAAAATAAAGAGAACCTAAGTCCAAAATTTTCTCTAACTTGAAATTTGAACGTTCTTCAAGCAAAAGTCTATAGAAGAAATGTTGAATATTGGTTGGTTGGTTGTAGGGGCCGTGAGCTTCATGCACTGCAGTCTTTTGGCTTTTTCTGCACCCCAATTTCATTCCTGCCCTATAAAAGTCCTGTTCCCTGTATCAGGTCTGAAAGCCCTTGGACAAGATTTTCAGGCGATAGTCTATCCCCGGTCTGTATCACTTGGAGAAAAACTATTTCTATATTTCTTATGGGCAATTGTCATTATAATCCGCCGTATGACAGAAAAAGCCAAAAGGATTGAAAGAATGCTACCTCAATGGAAGAATGCGATCACCCGCGCCCTGCCCTGTACGTGTGAACAAATACTACTCCTCCTCATTATTAATTGTCTTTGTCTAGTCAACAGGCTATTTAGTATTTCTCGATTGTTTTAGTGAAACTGCTAAGCATTTGATTCCTCTTCCCCTTCAAACGTCGCCCTTTATCTTCCATGCTGCGGACTATACTGAACCATTTTGGAAATATGGCAGCATCTGGAACCACTCTCTTATTGGCCGCTCCTTTACCTTTGACGCATCTACTACATGATAACATGACCGCGTTTAAAAAAAAAAAGCAGTGAATAGATATTAGTAGGGTTTTCATACGTCCGGATTTACCCGGACATGTTTGGGTTTTTAGGGTGTCCGGGGAAGTCCGGCCGGAATTCGGAACAATGTCCAGAAAACTCGGAGATCATGAAAACATTCATACTCACTCAGTTTACGCACTATTCAAAAGACGTAACATTTTACTTCACGCATTAGTACGTGAAGTATTCACTTTACACACTAGTCCGTGAAGTGATGTCAATGACAGATGTCGACACTAATTTTTTTCTGGTAAATTACTTCACTTTACGCACTAGTGTATAGCTATTTCGGCGAAGTCCGGATTTTGTCCGGATTTCTTGACTCCTTTGTTCTGAATTCCGAAAAACCATTATGGAAACCTTAGATATTAGGTTGCTAGATCGTTTCTTGATTTAAAATTATCCTAAATGATTAGAGTTTTACTGTCACTGTAGGAATGTTGAGATTTATGGCTGAGTTGGACTCTTAAAAAGACGCAAAATGGAAACAATTGTATAGTCCGTCGATTTTAATTTGATACGCGAATGGAATGTGACTTGTGAGCTGATGGCTCCCTACATTAGAACGCCAATGATCACCTGTTGTCACACCTGTTTTTGCCATATACTTCACCTCCTAGCTCCTCATACGGAAAATGTCAGATAAAAATCGACGAACAATATGGAAAACCACCGACCATATTGAATCAAGTTGTTCATTGGCAACGTCACATGTGAGCTAGCATACCGATGCTACTCAAGGATATACACACTACTAATAGCGTTTCCAGTTTGTCGAACCAGTACAAAAAAAAATGTATACATATCCTTCCATGTTACATGCTTTTAGAAAAAGATGGGGATACACTCAGTGCGCACTGAATGACAAATGGGAAACGCTATAAGGCTTATCGGCCTCGTTTTTGGTAATCGCCGCCATATTGGTGTATCATCATTGCCGACGTCAATTAACTAAGTCGTCAGCGATGTCAACTGTTTACACCAGCGGTCGTAGTTTGGAATTTAAATTTATTATAAAAAATATTATTTAATTTTGATTACCATAATGGGCAAATAGGAAGATGCGAACGAGATCAAAAAAATAACTGTTTTATAATGTTAATTAATGTAGTCAAACCAAGTATACATAAAGCGAAATCATAACCTGTGGTGCAAACAGCCCACGTTAAGGCGAGGAACGATATGCTGCCTACGTCACAACTGGTGATTTCGCGTAGTGGGGGCTTCAGATTTGTTCTACACAGGCCTTATGAGGATAGGCTATCCTGTAGTAGTAGTGTGTATTATCCTTGGCTGCTACCAAGCCAAGCGCGAAGCGAATTTCATACAATAACTATTTGTTTGTTGACCACTTTTTGAACGGATTTGGAACTAATTCAGGATTGTCGTAGGACTTATATGGTCGTAGGGCGCTCAATTATTGTATACCAGCAAAACGAACGATTCACAGCGTAGGTGAGAATAGCTTTCAAAGAATTATTAGAATTAATAATTTTTTCAGCCTTAAAGAAATAATGTACAAAGACCTTGTCCTTTATGAAAAAGCTGATCACAACTTTTTAAATTTTGTAATGCTGGTGTTCACACACATTTGCCTTCTTAATACATCAGGTTCTTGCTCTAGATAGTTTGTTGATTAAGACCATTTTCAATGAAAATGCTGGTAAGCTCCTAAGCTATGATTTTGACGATAATATCAAATAATCAATATATTACTTTAATTTTTATGAATCAAATTCCATGGTATAATAGGTACCTAGAAAACCTCATGCCTGTAGGTCGATACCAAAAACAAAATAAAATTTAAAAATTCTAATAAAAAATTAGATTTCTGCCTGCGCCATTATTCGCTTTCCGTCCTCCAATATTAAATTAAATAAACAATTCAAGTCAATAGAATGATATTGTAATCCTTTCAAAATTACTGAAGGCCGTACATCGTCTTCTGTTACCCAACACTCTCACTGCCAACGATAAAAACTTGTAAATTTTATCAGCAAGATAAACAATCGGTCTGAGTTTTGAATTAGGCTCCTTGCATCAAATTTTTTTATTGCGGATTTCGATAGTCCATGAAAAATAAGTCAACACGTGTTTTTTCTTTTTCTTGTGAGTCAAAAATTGACGGAAATACAACGCTTTGAAATGTCCTTCCGACGTCATAACTTAGGTATAATACGTTGTGAGTTGTGACGTCGCACATGCTCAGTATATCTATATATATAAAACTCAATATTTGTTATAACTTCCGACATAATCATATTTGGATAAAATAGAAAAACACGCATCGATTTTTTTTTCGATTTCCTACAGTTTGCAATAAACAATAATCAATTTAATTTTTCATGCAAGTATCCTATTGCTTTTGTGTAGACCAAAAATGTGTAACTGTTTGAGATTCTTATAATAGCATCTCAATCTAATCTAAGCTTACTAATATGTAAGCTTACCAGCATCTTCATATGATTATTAGGGATAGAGATAATGGTTTTTTTTTTTTGAATTATGGTTTAATTTTTTTTGATGGTTTATAAATTATTATTTGTATATTGCGTTGTAACAAACTGATACGTTTTATATAGGTAATGCATTTCGTTGAACCTTAGAGCAGGCCGTAAAGCAAAAGTGGAGCTGGATTTGAATGACCGCAGGCCACCAAGTTGACCAATACGTGAGTTGGTGATGCTGCCACTATGCCACTCCTGCTGTAAGATTTAGACCAAAACAGACTAGACAGATGTATTTAATTAAATATGTTTTTTTTTTACTTATAAAATTTATTTGTCCAATATATGTAATTATCTTTTTCTTTTTTGTGATATTTGCAACCAAAGTTAAGAAAGTTTGAGGTTTGAGTAATCGAATTTCAAAATTTGTTTGCTGATTCCGATTTATACCCCAGCTTTGAAGCTTGAACCAATTTTCTGTGGAAAAATAATGAACTTTGATACCCTCCTCTATCAAAATACTACGTTTCGTGGCACCATTGCACCAATTTACTTACCAAAGTGAGGCAATCTTTTGAATTGAAGAATAAGTATGTATAATTTTTAAAAAGTTATGCCTACAAGTATTGTGATGTTTCGTTACGCCGAAATGTTCATACTTAAGCTTCAAGCTGGCGACATAAGAATATTTCCTAATTTAAAAAAGTATAAGTCTTTAACATTAAATAATAAACCCAAACTTCAAACCTTCTCAGTTCTCAAAGAGCTTTTTTGTTGGAAGAGAAACGAGAAACACTTTGATTGTGAATAACTATAAATATTTGTTTACCATATTTTGTAATACTTGGGTATTTTCAAATACAATTATTGTCAATAAAGACATTTATTTTTTATGGTTTTTTTTTTGCATCCCGTGAAATTTTATTTTTCTAGCATGCTTCATGCTGTATGAAAATCCATTTTTTATTAACAAAATACATATCGATAATAAGAAAACACTAAATATTTTCTCGTTATACTGTACCTACTATAACATAAGCAAAAATGTCGTCGGCCGTTTAAACTATAAATAAAATAATGGCTGCCGGCTATTATTTTCAAACATACCTACCCTTATAGGGCTTATAGGAGAGTGTTTTTTTTTTGTCGGATTGAAAGATCTGCAGTATGATCAGGGACACTTTATCCGTTAGGACAATTAGGACATGTCCTACGGGCCACTAGAGGATGGAAGGCCAACTGCTGGCCTTTTATTTATAATATAAAATATAAAAGCCCATTATATTAAAAACATAGACTTGTTTAGTAGCAGGACTAGTACATATTTCACTACTCTTTAATTCTTATAATTCACACTGCACAAGCACATTTGGTTTGGCCAGAGAGCACTGCCTGACGTCACGATGCTGTGCAATCGCTCCGCTCCCTCCATCGAGCATCAATCCGGAACACGTCCTAAAGTCACTGAGCTGCGCTGACTCGCCGTCGCGTCATTAGCGCAGCACGGGCGCTGAGCCGTTTGTTATTTGTTCGTGAATCTTTTTATGGTGTCAAGTGTGATTGTGTTATCTCTGGATCGTGTGATTTACAACTTTCTACGTATTAACTAAAATCTTCGAGAACTGCATACGATTCTGTTCGCCTGTTCCTGAAATATAGTGTTATTTTTTTGGTTATGGTCTATAATAAAAACTATGAAATATTTTTTAGTGGTTTTTCAGTAGCTTGAAATCTTCGGAATGATTTTATTCAACTTCATAAAAAGTACAGGGTGACTCAGAGTAAATTTCCCTTTTCAAACGCGCCCTGTACATTCAACTTAATATTTGTATGGGGAGGTTAGCGCTGGCAATATGCGGCAACTGCGTGTGGATTATCAGTGAGCATGGAGCAGTGGTCGAACAAGCAACGCGTGTTTATGGTTGAGGGTTGAGGCGTTATCAAAATTGAATGATTCTTATGTCGCGGCGCGGCCACGTTTTTGTAACCGTAACCATATCCGGCGTATACGTGACGCTATGTCAAAAAATGTATTGAGATCATGGGTTTAAAGATTCAAAGTGGTACAGTAGCAATTGGCAAATCAGAAGCGTCCCGCCATGTTTTCGAATTGGGCGCCTCGGATTTTCAGTCGCAGCAAGTCGCATAATCCCAATGTTCTCTGGCGTTCTGATGGACTTCTGTTGGCCGGGACGCATGGAGGTAAGTAACACCCATTTGGCTCCCGTTCGCAAATTTGAATGTAACACCTGATATCGCGACAGTTTCTTTATCGGGTGTTACTTACCCTGGACAGATTGCATTCACATAATGGTTAAAAGTAATGCCTTTATTAGATACATACCTAGTATACATATTAATATTATTAGTTTTTTATGTTTCAAACTTTCTGTATTTTATTAATTTGCTCGTTAATTCTTGCTTATAGGTCCTATTTTTTTATTTCCTTTTGGTATCATGTACACATGTAGGCCCAAGTAAGAAAAAGAAGATTGAAAAAATTCAGTAGGATGTAATGGCTTTTCGAAAATATCTATGTTCCTTGTTGACCTGGTATGAATGTCACCAAGCCCCACCGGAGAGATATTCTGAGTTCTAAATAATATTTTGTCTCAAAACAGCAAAATTTGAAAATCTTCTTCCTTTCATCTTGAGCATTTCACTGTTAGTAATGTAAAGAGTAACATGTTCTCGTCTATTTATGTTCAATCTGTGGTTCAATATATACCTATCGTACACAATCGTTCTGAATCTTTTGTAGTCTATATCTGTTATGTTCTGTTAGATTCTTTTCCAAACAGGCCAAAACAATAGGAAATTGGTCAACAATAAAAAAAATTACAAATCAAAAACAAAATTCTTGTTTTTCTGAGCTCACCCTATATATTATTAAATTCCTAGTTATTTTACAAAAAAAAAAACAAATACAAAAAGGTCATATACAGTGTGTTATTTAAAAATGTGAAACGTGCCATTCTTTTTGGATTTTTCGATCTTCCACAACTATAGCACCTAATATGATTATCAGACATGCACCAACTTTTGGCTTTATTTGTATTTTGATTGTGCTATTACTAAAAAAAAATCCCATATGTTGTACACTTAAGTAATGACACTGTATAAATAGTGAAAAAGATGTTCTCCTAAATTAAAATTAGTGTCTCAGGTTTTTCGAGAAATATTCACTGTTTTATTGTTTTTATCTACTAAATTACGAACGTACAGTACAATTTATATTAATTATATTTTTCAATATACCTACTCATGTTTTAAAATTTCAATGCCCTAAAATAATTATTCACAAGATGGTAATAGTAAATAGGCTTATCTAATACCGAGGGTAAGTAACACCCGATAAAGCGCACATCCATGCAACCACGGGTGTTACATTTGAAAAACCGAACCGTTGTCGAACGGATTGCCGAATGCTAAACAGGGTGTTACTTACCTCTATGCGGCCGGGACGCTGTCTGAATCTTTGAACCCATAATTTCAATAAATTTTTTGACGGAGTATCACATATACGCCGAATATTGTACCGGTTACAAAAACGTCGCCATGCCACGATATAGGAATCGTTTGATTTAAAAAACGCCTCGACACTAAATGCGCGTTGCTTATTCGACTTCTGCTCCATGTTTACTGATAATCCCCAAGCAGTCGCCGTAAATTGCCCTCCACAAATATAAAGTTAGATGTACAGGACACGTTCGAAAAGGGAAATTCACTCTGTACAATCACTCATGAAAGGCCATGCCAAATAATTGACCTACGGGCCAGAGAAAGGCTAAAGCGTCACTGAGTATAATGAAAAATTTCAGAATGAAACACGGCCGGTAACTGCAAATAACCTTGGCCTTGGCTAATTATAGGATCACAAACTTCATCTCGGCCGTTTTTGCTATTTATCGGCCTTATAACGTTAATAACGTGGTGGTTAGTTCCTAGCAAAAGGCATTAAAAAAACAATTGCAGTTCAGTACAGGATATCTGAGATGGAGGCGGAACATACAGTACGAGAACGAACAGAACAAAAAAAAAATATGCTGAATTTACAGCAAATAAAGCTGCTTACGAACAAGCACTAAGTTATGTTTGATTACAAGAATAATACACACTTCTACTACAGAGGATAGCCTATCCTCATAAGTGCGGCCGTACACCAGAGAAACATCAAATATGCAACATGCGACATGAAGTAAATACCGCAGGTAGACTTGTGCCGCTTAATATCCGATAAAAAAACGTAGGTACATGTTCTCGGGATCATCGCACTCACACTATGTTAAGTCCTCGTACGTTTTGGTAACAGCAATGAAATATCCTAGTAGTGACAGTTTTTGCTGTGCTGGTGTTGGAAACACCACACTCATTAGTTTTCCGAATGATAAGCCTTAACAATTTTTAGGTATGTACAGTTTATTTTTTCCCAAGATAGATTTTGACATTGTCAACTTTGAAACATAAACAATGCCGCTAATGCCGCTTATTGGTCGCAAAATGCCATTTACATGACATGCATTGTAAAACTGATGTCAACCTGCAGGGACACCTCATTTTACTACCAATCAGGGCCAAGCGTTTTTGTTTATGTTTCAAAGTTTTCTATGTCAAAATCTGTCTTGGGGAAAAAATACACTGTAGATACATCTTTTACGAACTCTATTATGATATTCGTTTTTCCCGCCTGTCTACATTCAAGCAATGGCCTAATGGTTTTGTTTTCCATCTGTTGTTTGGGAGTTTTGTCGGTTTGGTCAGATGTAATGTAATAGTGAAATGTAAGTTGAGCGTGTTGCTTAATTCGATGAAGTACGACGAAGAATTTCGGAGGAGATATTATTGTCGCTAAAAACAATCTTTATGCCATTTTATGCCTCGGCCTTACGAAGTTTCCTGTTTCCTGGGGAAAGTATGTTATGGCCGCCATTTGCACCGACCATTTTAGGAAGGTTTAACGATAATCAACGTTTAAAGTGACATTTTTACATGCAAAAATGTCACCACATGTGGGCGAATTCTTTTATTCATCGACGAATCCATCTACTGCCAGCATTATAGGACAGTCATTCTGATTTTCTATGAACTAGGCAAATATAGACTGGTCATCGATGGATCCATCGGTGAATAAAAGAAAGCGCCTGTCACTTTGAACGTTGATTATCATTGAACCTCCCTTAAAATTGTCGGTGCTTGCTTTATAACTAGATACTGTTGGGCACTGGCTGGTCACTTTTCCATAAAATAAAATAAACTTATTTCGAACAAAACAGCATTTATTTTTCACTCAAAATACATAATTTTTACTAACTAATTTCTAACAACCGGGTGTCGTGAATCCCCCTCTCATCCACCTCTCTCTCTCTCTAGCCATCTGTCAAGTCAAGAATTTCAAAACAATGTCACTGCTGTCAACGCCATCCATCATAATAACGCGCGAAATTCAAATTCAAATTAAATGGCGCTAACAATACCCAATCTAACAATCTTGACGATGTCGGATGTTAGAAGTATTAACAGTTGGGCAAATATAACTCATTATCTCATCGCCTGTCCACTTGCTGCGTGGTTCTGGATTTTGCAGGTTCTGGCTGACCAAATATAATGACGTTTTTTTTTTACGTGTCTCACGTTCAAAAATCGAGGACGATGAGCAATTCTAGTCTAGTATTCCTAGTAGTGTGTAATATTTCACGTAGCCGTAGAGTGCTACAAGCGGTATTGAATACCAAAGGTTTGTTTGCTTGTGTTGTTTGGAGCAGCACTTCCTGCTTTGGGGCGTTCGTTTTTGTTATGGCAATGAACTGACGAGCATTAGTTAGTGAAGTGCAGTTTGTACCAAACTGTTCAGTTCATGTTCAACTTGCACTTGCTTTCGAGG